TTCAGAGAGTATGATTACTCTGGGGCTAAGCCTCCCTCTCTTTCACACAGGAAAATATCAAAGCACTCCCCTACCTATGGCCTCTCCCAATCAGAGCAGAATAGAAAATGGAATGAATTTAGGATCAGTTTTCTATGCAGTGATAAGTACCACTCAAAGACAGTCATAGACTGGGAACAGAGAACTATGTAAATTATCTGGTTTATTTTGAATTCAGAGGTGTAGGGAACAAAGCACAGTTTCTATGAATGTCAGCTAGACAACAGGAACTAACAACACTTGAGACTAATATGGTCCTTGAGTTTTTCCTCTGCTTCACTGTCTTTTTGCTATCTTGTTTGACTTCTCATTAGTGGAGGAGAAAGGAAGGGAAACCTATTTTCCCAACTGCATGCAACAATATTCATAAGATTTGTCATGAATGTTATGACACGTGCATTTGTCACAAAGTTACCTTTTGCTATTAATATTGTAACAACTCAAAAGTGTGTTGTATCACTTTAACTGGTACCCTCTCAAAACACACATATTCTGTGAAAACTGAACTAAGGTATTTAGAAGAAAGAAAAAATCATCTTCCATATAATACAAATGTGATACAGTCCATTCAATTACATAAATCACCAAGCAGATTAATTATCAGAACTATTTTCATTAAATCCATTTTGATACCTGATTAAAAGTATTTGAAGTGTACAAAGAAATGTTACTGCACAGAAAAGTAGTGCATATGCATACATACAAAAACCAATTCTCCTAGGAAATTTTGCAGAATTTAGCTTCCATCATATCTAAAATAATTTATAACGTAAGTAAAATGACATAAAATGCTTTAAAGCTATATGAAATACACTAGCTTTTTAAGAAATATTGTAGAATTTGGATGTGTATTCAAACTTTTCACCAATAGATGGCAAAAATGCACAATACTTAACTAACCAAATCATTGCAAATGATTGCAGATTTAAGGCGTTAAGAAGGATAGTTCTGAGACCTGTCAATGCATCAAAAGACAGTAAATGATTATAAAGTTTTGGAGCTTATAATTCCTTTTTCACACTGGTAGCCCTACAATTTAGTGGTACTTCTCTAAATTCTACTAAAATATATGTTTTCCAAAAGGAATAACATGTTCTGCAGGTCTGAATATGGTTTCAGTTTGAGCTGTTCTGTAGAAGTTATGTCCAAAAAGACTACAGGGTATTGAAGCAAATGTTTTCATGTCACAGATTTTTAAACTAAAGCTTCATCTTGAAGCACACTTGCTGGATGACCAAAAGGCATTCACACCATCAGCTTAGCTATCTTAGTAAGACACACTGCTTTTTCTCCAGAGCCATCCATCTCTTTCCACAGAGGGCAATCAATTTCATTCTCTGACTCACAAAAATAGCTGAATGTCTACCAGAGATGCTGGATACGGTCTTCTCAAACCAAGAATTGAGATACTGAGACCACAAGGCTCATCCAAAATTAATTGAGATTGTCTGTAACTACCTGGACAGAATTTGAGCAAGGACTGGAAAAAAGGATACCCTCTTTTCTATAACTGTTCTCATCACCATACAAAGAGATTTGTTCTCTACGCTACGCATGTGTCTACGTTTACATGTGTTACCTTCTTTTCCCCACTGTAAATCTTGAATTATTTTCTGAAAAAATAGCATGGCTTCACAGGAGTCTAGACTAGAAGGGATGTCAGGGAGGAAGGGATGATGGAAGAATATTCCTGATAATAGAATCTATTAGGAAACAAACATTTCTCTTGCCTGAAATTTTGTACAGTAGAATAGATTAAGCCCATGGTCAGAAAAAGGAAATGGATTGTTTAATAGACCTCTTCTATCTTTAATTTCTGTGATTCAATAAGATAAGACACTATCAAATCCATATATTAGGTTTTATTTAAATCACTGTAGTTCTAAGGCTGATTGTTCCTCATTCACATGTCCTCGTAAATGTGAAACCAAAATCGTATTTCACATGCTTAATCTTCTTCTCACAATACCCTCCTGTCAAGGCAATTTATTCCAATACAGTCTGCTCATAAAATTAGGAAGTCATATTTCATATTGATGAAATATGAAAATTTCATTCATATACAGCATTTTGAGATACAAAAATACATTTTATGAACTGAACACAGAAGAGTTAGCAGGAAAAGTGGAAGGCTTCACATACTAAGAGTTACATGACAGCAGAATGGTAGCATTTCTGAACTAGCATAATAAAAGGAGAAAACCCACTGGCTTTCCACTACAGTACATTAAAAGAAGATACATTAAGACCACAGGTACTCTGCTATACTTCACATCTTCCTATGAGCATTTAGTGTTCCGAAGGCAAAGCTTATTTTTTATTTAGGATGGTTTAGTTTTTTAAAATACTGTTTAATCTGTGTGTTTGTACTTACTTCATTGTCAGCTAACTAAACCTGATAATAAACAAACTCTTGTGAAATTGGGAATTCAGGGATCCACATTCTGACGACTTGAATTCTGTCTAGTACTTAGATGAACTCATCACAGATGACTGACATGAATCAATAATTAAATAAACTAGAAAGACCCTGATGCACAATACATTCCAGACTAGGTAATATATTTGGGCTCCTAAATGATCTTGACATTTAAGGCATACAAAAGAATACTGCTTAATTAATAAAAAATTCTTAAAACATGCAATGAATTTTTGAGATACACTGAAATCTGAACCTGTTAAATGATTTTCACATTGCTTAACAATAAGCAGTCCCTGTTTACTTGCCTCACTAAAAGGCTAACCTCCCTGTGTATCCTATTTTCACAGGGACACTTCATGAAGAAAACGGAACTTTCATGTTCCATGTTCACCCTCCACACAAGGATATCTCAATTAGAAAATTTATATAAAAGGTGAAGTAGGCATCCAACTTGAAACTGTAAATAATATGGTCCCAACACCCTCCCTTTCCCTCCATTTACACAGTCAGTCCTGCTACTGCATTACTTACAAGTATGTCTGAAGTATTTGACCTCACCAGGCAGAGTAAATTTTGCCATCTCTTTAAAAGGTGTAAAGGAACAGACAATCCTCATTAAAACACATGAGTGTCTGTGCTTAAAAAAATCTTTCATCACAGCATCTCAAATTAATAACTTGCTGATCTAAATTACAGCTATGTCAAGGACCCCAATAATTCACATTTTTGAATTAGTGAATTATTTCACTAAAGATGATTTTCCCTGAAGTGAAAACCCCTTTGGAATAAACACAGTGGAAGCAGGTGCAAAGCTCAAACTCTGTAAATATGTCACTCCTACAATGACTACATTAAAAAAAAAAAATAATTTCTGTATCTCAGCAGGTCATAAGTGTCTCAGGAGGATTCCATGAGAACAGGTAAAGTAGGACTATAAACAAGAAATCAAGAGAAAGTGACATTGGTGTAATTAAGACTGATGGAAATCCTTTCAACCCTATCGATAAATATAAGTACAACACTTTGGCTGCAAAACAGCATAAATCTTGTAAAAAATATCCAGTAGAAACTGCTAAATGGGCAAACTCTCTCATTACCCCTGTTGGCACTGCTAGTTAGATTGCTGTGTCACCATGAGTCAGTCAATTCTGCAGTCACTTTCACAAAGAATATTAATCTCAAATAATTATCTCTTTGTCTCATTTCCCATATTTTGTGGTTTTGCTATTTTCTTATTTCATATTCCTTTTCTATGGAACCTGTGATTCTAAGTTTTGCTCTTAGACAGGCTTAATCTCCAATTATTTCAATCTCAAAGTTCTGGGAAACTGATATGTCACATTCAGCGTGAAAATACATCTCTTTAATTCACATAATGCAAAGAATCTGGGACTGAGTTACAGCTAGTGAACTCAGCAATTTTCTTTTATGCTTACAAACCTTCTTTTTTTATTTGCTTTCTTATCATAATATGGAACTCTGTGACATTTTCTCCTCCAAAAAGCATTACTTAATTTTACATACATGATAGAAGTGTGTGATGAAGGCAGTAATCATATGAGTATCTGTAGTGATCTTTTCTGGGTGTTTTAGTGCTTTCTTCTTTGGCATACTAATAAACACTAACATGTATAGTATGAACTCTAACACAGTTATACATTTATTAATCTCTTTCCATACAAAAGTAATTCATCAATAATTTTTGCATCTTTTCACTTCTGTATGAAGTTGAAAATATTATAACACTAGATGAGATCCAGTGGTGTATTTTCCTTTCCATGTGAAACATTTAAAATGAGCATCCCTTCAGTTTTCAGGCACAATGAGTGTCTGTATTTCTGGAGAAATGGATTGTCAAATGGTGAAGTTTCATACATTGTCTAAAGACATTGCATTCACAAAACATGCCACTTTTAGGAAGTCTTCCCTGAATAAAAACTCCCAAATTCTGAAGTTCATTTTACTTGACTAGAGTAAATATAAAATTTGTATAAGAAACTTCATATCCCACATTATGGGTGTTCTTCAGTTGATTTATTTTGTCTGCTCTGCTTCATTTTGTATTCCCTTTTATGTGTGGCATATTCTTTTCTAATGCATTCCTAGCAGTCCTATCTTCAAGATTTATTGTTTCAGTGGATCTAAAATTTAACCATAATGGCTCAAAATGTGAAGAAAATTTCTTGATTTCATTCTTGACAATGATTCATGGCAATCCAGTTCAGTGACTCAATGGTCTGGATTACCTGTTCAGTTTGTAACTTGAGTCAATTACATCAAATTCACTGCTTTACAAAAAAACCTTCATGTTACACAGTACTTCCAAGCTGGAGTTCACCACCACTTAAGAGTAGGAGATTGTATTAATGAATCAAGAATAAAATGGACTTAGTAAGGGTTTTTTCTGACATAACACACCTAACTGGTGAAACTGTAACATTCTTCTACTTACACGATGCCGTAAAATAAAGAAATTCTCCATGAAAATGTGCAAAATTTAAATATTTTTATAACAGCTATTAAAAGGAAATTTACTTACCAAGCCAACTTCTGTTCAAATATACTGACACAAACACTGGAGGGACTGTGAAGAAATCTACTACTGAGTTAACTTCTAGCCAAAACCATAGCTTGTCATTGGCGGCTATGAACTGGAAAAAAAGAAAAAAAAAAAAAAAAGAGGGGGGGGTATGTAAGAATAGGCTTATGCTCTGCAAGTATGGGCAATTTTTTCCATTCTAAAATATTAAACTCCAAAGTTAGTGGAGAAGGAACTGAAGTTTTAGGTCAATTCAGACAAAACAGCATGTCTCACCAGAAAGAAGTCTGTATTATGCATTGTGTGATAACCACACTGGGATTAAAATGAAAGGTCTAACTAAGAGACAGATCATTTATACGATGAGTTGCATTATCTGTGCTAAAAACCATTTCAAATCAAATGCTTTGCTCATTTTAGAAATTAGCTTAATTTTGTCCAGCCATTGTAAAGTCAGGCTGTATTCAAAGAATCTCCCTATCTAACAGCTGTATTCACTCCCTGACTCACACTATCAAAGACACACTACTTACACGCAAGCCGAAGTAGAGTAGGAAGAACACGTTGAAAGCCATGTCGATCTGTAATGTGAAATCTTTGTAGAAATTCTGGCAGGATTCTATTGGGCTATTTGAAAGAAAAAGAAATCAGAGTAAATTGTTAGTATATGAGTTTCTATTCTGGTGAGATTTTTATGCATTTCATTAAAGACCTTGATTCAGAAATACACTTTCTGTTTTCCAGTCGTTTACAAGATACAAGCAAAGCATTTCAAGTGAATTATTTCATTCATTCAGTTAGTCATTCATACAGTCTTTATATTCACCTGTTCAGGTAATAATTGAGAATTAACATGCAGATACCTTTCAGAAAGGACAAGCAGGAGAATACCTCAGGATTCCTTAACCCCACATTAACCCTTAAAGAACTGACTTCTTTCTATAGGAGACATACCTATGATACTTTAGGAACAAACCTGAGAAGCACACAGCTACAGTGAAATATTACATGTTTTTAATTCATGTCATAATATAAAACCTTAAAAAGAAGGTAGTTGCTTAGGAATACATTACCCATTAGCAACCTGGAGTGCTTAGTCTTGTTGAATCCCTTGTTTAAAAGAAGTTGGGTTTGTTTTTTCCTTTTTTTAATGTATGGCTATTTAATGTACTTTATGTACAGTACTATGAACTGAGTAGAAAAGCAGCATAGCCCACTGGGAAAATTAAATAAATTGAGGAATTTGAAGCAGTACTCTAAGGGTTAATTTCTGCATGCAGGTTAATTAAAATACCTTTCTGTGTGTCAGGCAGCCATTGCAAATTCTAGCTTATTATATTATGCTTTATTTAACAGTGGGAAAGGTCCAAAGCATACTCTATACAAACTGGTACTTTATAGATATACTTTTATCTAAGGAAGGAGGTAACTTCCACAAGTATGATTAGTGATTTATTTGTGAGATTTCTAAAATAGGTTGGTGAAGCCACAGAACAATGTTGAAGTCACAGACCAAAGTGAAAGTAATGTCCCAATATATGCAAATGTATATACTATATATACACAATGTCCCACCATATATACATATATATACACACACATATATTGCAAATGATCATGTATTCATCACAGCTGTAATAAAGTGGAAAACTAGAATGTAGATCATTTGTTCATTTGGAGCCCTAGAAAACACCCTTTTAGGAAGAAGAAATTCTTTGGCTTCCCAGGTGAAATAAATCACTGAATGTGAACATAATACCAGTTAGCATAGCAGTAGCTCTGCAAATATAATGCTAGACTGCTCAACAAGCAAGATTCTATGCATTATGAATGTCAGTTACCTAATTTAAGGCATAAAGGAAATTACCTGGGCTACCAGGTCATTACACATGCAGCCAAATTTTCCATTCCTTGTATACATTACAGGTCAAACAAGTTAAGTACAGCATGCCCTCTCCCGTCTTTAGATGCATGAATGTATACAGCACAATTCTCCTTGATGTACAATAGCTTTATATTTTAGGAAGCTTCAGCATTACAGGAAATTATACTAAAGTGCTTTTTGAAAAGCTGTTTGCAAAGACATTGAATTTATGAAACATTTCTGCTACAGTTCAAATAAAATTGATTTAGAAAAGCAGACAGAAGGGAAGAGAAGCCAAATGTTAACACAGAGGACAGAAGACAGCCCCTCATACTTTACAATACATCTTTAGCTACAAAAACATTGAATGTAATCTGAGAACCCAAGAGGATCGTTATCAAGAGCAAAGGATTTTGTCAAAGTAAGATAGGCTACACATTGAGTCACCATGCACCCTATCAACAGAAATCACAGCAAAAGCAGCATGAACAACCCTGCACCAACACAGAGGCTTGGAATCTTAATTCCAGGTTAGGTTCCTGTAAAAGCTGCAGAAATTCACTAAAGCTAATGGAATTGCACGGATTCATAACTAGGATAACCAGAAACAAGCTTCATTATCTTCCTTTTAACAGTTATTTGTTACTTGCCATAATTGTTAGATAAGGTCAGCTGAGGTTGCAGCTAAGGGCTGTTCTTTCGTTCTATTGTTCTTTGCAAAAACATACAAGATCTTACAAATTAGCTAATGCATAATACATCTTCATCTTGTTTGAAAAACACTTAGCACAGTGGACAACAATCCTGGTTTGGGACTTTTGTTGACCTAATAACAGAATGACTCCTTCTGCTAGTCATATCCCTAAGGCATCCTTCATTACAGATATAATTTCTCTCTTTCAATTTCTACGGTATTAATTTCAAAGACAAACACAATGTCCTTTTCTTTTTATTCTGAATTATGATTTTGTCAGAAAGGCATGCCCCTAAGACTAAATAAATTATTATTTATTCTCACAGAATTGATTATACAAAATTTTAAATTTTCCAAATTAGAATTTGGTGATATTGTTCAGTTTGAATTTTTTGTTTTCTTCAGTACCTCACATCTGAGCTGAGAGAAAAATATGGCTACCAATGTTTATCATTGCACCAGTCTGATGCAGAAAGCAAGCCAATTTGAAACTCTTCTTTATATGGTTTCCCTAAAATAGAAGTGCTATAGGTCTTAAGAGTTCTAGACAGTAGTGTGCTGGGGTCTCCAGAACCAGTAACATATTCCCTGTTCTAAATTAAAATCAGATTCCTTGTCCTATGGGATTTCACCCCTTTAGGTCAGCAAAAGTTTCACCTTTGAAGGAGGCAATAGACTGTTAGAAATGCTTTTATAACTCTTTCATGTAAGTGTACTTCATTGTAAGTGTGGTTTAATGCATCCATTAAAAAACAGGAGAAACTACACTAAAATCATTGGAATCACATTATACTAACAATGGTAGGAAAGATAACTGGATAAGAATTACAGTAGGGATGTAACTAAATATTTATGTGCACTTTGAAAGAGCGTCTTTAATTTGCTACTCAAAAATTGAAAAAAAAATCTGTTGTAGCCATGACTTCTCGTGTTTTGAAAAGAAAAATGCATATCACAAATTTTACTTAACATAGGGATATCCTACTGATAATCTATCAAGGACTATAATTCCCTTTTCTCCTGCCATCTCTTTATGTAATAAACTAAATGCTACAAGCAATGCCTGGGCTACAGAAGAACAATTTGAAAGACTGAGTTTTCTTCAGGTCAACCTTTATATCAAGTTATCATTTACTGCAGCTGTGTGGTCTGTGCTACAATTTAATATAAATCACATCTAGAGAAATAACAGTGGACTTAGTTTGCCTAATTTGCAGTAAAGACAGAAGCTTATTTGATTTTTCAGGCATAGAATGACTCTAGACTCATAATTGACATAGAATGACTCTAGACTGTTAATTCTCTTCCTTCCTCTCCTGCTCTTTAAACACTGCTATTCCTTTCAGTTTCACATTATCTGTATTTGTCTTATTATTACAGCATTTTTGTAGCATAAAGCCCAGTTATACAGGTATCACAGGCATAAACTACTTCAGTGAGCAAGAGAAGTAACAAAATTATTCGAGTTTAACTTGACACAGATGGGGCAAAATTTTGACAAAGTGTTCCCAGACTCCCTAAACATTTTTCACAATCAACACTGAAGCCAACACCCTACATGACACTTTTATCACAACTGAACAAATGAATTAACCCCTTGCCACTCCAATTCAAAACAATTTACTTCTGTTTAAATAACTACTTTTTTTTTGTCACAAGTTTATTTCATGTATTTATATTTCTCACTTATTTCTTTTATTTGAAACGCTCCTAAGTATCTGAAATGGTTCTACTGGGATTATTTTTTTAATTGTCATAGAATGAGTGGGAGAGGGTATAAAATAGTATGCATTTTAATGTTTTCTGAAATTATTTGTTTCAGTGAGTATATTAATATGAAACTTCCCACAGAAGAAGCCTTCATAGAATATTTCCAGGATTCTGCAATTGCAACAGAGTTGAAAATATCTTGAGTGTTTTTTCCTCTATCATTTCACATTTGATAAGAGCTGTAAAAACCATTTCTAACTTTAGATCAAAGCCTTGGTATGACATATCAATCTACGTCACAGTGCCATCACTACCATTATGACCACACAGAAGTAAGGGGAAGAAATTCTACATTCATTCAGACTTTAAGCCAACTTTGTAATCTATCTGGATAATTTTACATAAAACATCCAGATGATGATGATTTTACATAAAACCTTGCCCACAATAATGGGACAGGTTGTGCACACCCAATAATAACTACCCAATATGTGATTTACAGCTCTTTCTGTGTAAGGAAGGGGACTCGTAATTTTGGCATATGTCAAGTCAGTCTGCTCCTAATTTTTTTTGCCCTTTTTTTTTTTTTTTTTAAATGACAATGCCTGCAAAGACTAAGATGGATGACATTTTTTATCTATGTAGTTATATACCAAAATGCAAAAGGTTAATTTTAAGACATATTAATCTAGTTACATTTTGCCAAGTACTTTTTTTTTTTAAATCATTCATAAACCACTACAAAAGAAAAAGATTTCTCCTTTTAAGTTCAGGAAAGTACTGATGTTAATATCATACCAGATGCTACATATTTGGAATGTTAAGAAGTTATTGAAACTTTTAGAAATTCAGAGAATTGTCTTAATTTACAATTCTTATTTCTGGAAGCAAAGTTGTCTTCTGAATGGTGAAGAAAAAGATAAATCCATTATTAAAAATAGATAAAATATATTTTAATTCTTAATAGTAATTACATAAAATTTAAAATTGAAAAAGTTGGAATTAAAAACTGTTACAAACTTAATGTGCCTTAGAAAGAAATACAGCAACCTGATAATATGAAAAATTAGGAAGCTTTTAATTTCCTTTGTTCATGATAGTTTCTAGATTGCACAACAGTACATTATATGAAAAATCAGTAAAATGTGCAGCTTCTATCAGAAGGAATGTTCATTGATGAGAGTGAATTTTAAAATCAAATTTTAATTATATACAGAAATACCTGTAGAGGCTGCCAAAACATAATCAACATTAATGAATAAATGAGAGAAACCACCCAATCTCTAGAAGTTCTTTAGTATCTCAGAATTTCAAGATATTCCATTAATTTCTCACTTTCAAACTGTATTTAAATTCAAT